GATTCACTGTCTGCACTTTGTGTTTTTACATCTTTGTAACAAATCGAGAGACTTTCTGAAAGTAAGAATTACATTGTGCCAGTACATGTACCAGGTTTCATATGTCAATAAAGTTCAAGTTGAACCTTGTTTGGGAATCTGTGTCTAGCCCCCATTTAACATTCTGGTGTTTGAAATGTCTTATTTTTCTGAAATTATCCATTGAGTGCTTGTTTTAGAACAAAACAATAGAATAGAATAGAATAGAATTAAAACAGGCCTGCCCTGCCCTCTTATGGAACAAAATGTAAATGTAGTGTTGATTTTTTTGTTCAGTGTTGATTTGAATGATTGTGGAATTTAACCTGGTCCAAAGCTGCTTTTTCATTTTTTTTTCAAAATGTCTCAAAAAGGTTCTCATGTATTGTTAGAAATATACAAAGCCATTATGAGGAATGACATTCACCAACCTCCTAGAGTTCAAGTAAGATCAGATGGTGGGGAGGAGGCAGAGTCTGAGATGGTGATGGGGAGGGGAGGAGGCAGAGTCTGAGATGAAAGTGATGGGAGCAGAGGAGACGGAGTCGAGATGGTGATGGGGAAAGGAGGTGGAGTCTAAGATGGTGATGGGGAGGGGAGGAGGCGGAGTCTGAGATAGTGATGAGAGGAGGCAAAGTCTGAGATGATGGTGATGGGGAGGAGAGGAGACAGTCTGTGATTACAGTGATTGGAAAGGAGGTCTAAGTTGATGGTGACTGAGGGGAGTAGGCAGAGCCTGCGATGATAGCGATATCCTGAAAGACACATATACCCCTTTACAACACAACTGGTTTCACCCCTCATGGGGTCTACTTGAACAGGTCAGATTGCACACAGCAGACGTGAAACCAAGCCCTCTGTGCGGTTCAGGACCTGCATGGTGTACACCATGAAACTCCCAGCCAACCCAAGCAGGACAACTCAGCAGGGCGACACAGCTGTCATGTACTACATTGTCTTGTCTGACCTACACGGAGCAAAACGTAAAGCAGTAAAGGGGTGTAGCGGTGGCTCTGTGGCTCAGGATCTGCGCCTGTGGCTGGAAGGGTGCCAGTTCAAATCCTGCGACCGGCAGAGGAATCCTACTACGTTGGGCCCCTGGGCAAGGCCCTTAACCCCAACCACTCCAGGGGCACCGTATAAACGGATGACCCTGCGCTCTGACCCCCAGCTTCTCTCCCTGTTTGTCTCATGGAGAGCAAGCTGGGGTCTGTGAAAAGAAATTTCTAATGCAAGAAATTGTATAGGGCCAATAAAGTGAGCATCCAGGTGGGGCTGCACACTGGTGTTGGTGGAGGGGATCCCCATTACCTGTAAAGCGCTTTGAGTGGAGTGTCCAGATATAAGCATAAGCAATTATTGTTATTTTTATCTTATCTCTAAATGAAGTTAATGACGGTGCATTGCTGGATTAAATTCAAAATTAAAACCTGGAAGTAGAACACATCTGCATCAAACTTACATGAATAAAAGACACTCACCGTACGACAAGCAGACTTCATTTCTTACCTCCAGGCAAGTCCCAGCTGCCGGCAGGGAGCCCGTGGGAGGCTGGAGGCCTGTGATTCAGCAGCCCGGAGTGCTGGTCTTCTACCACCCCCAAACACCCACCCAGCACCCCGCCGCTGCTACAGGACCCCATGAGACACAACTGTCCAACCTCACTCCAGACTGAGTCGGGCCACGGCGTCTTTTCATCTCAGACTGTGTTTTATTGGAACACCAGACGGGCTCGGCCCGCACGAGATCCACTCAGCAAGCGAAACTATGTCAAAGCGTCACTCGTTTATTTTTTTTTCATCTCTTTTGTTTGGTAGAAAATGAAACAAACAGGGAAAAAAAAAAAAAAAGAAAAGAGGTCTCTTGTACAAACGGTTAAAAATTACAAACCCTGGGAGGCCAACGTCGGAACGTCGCTGTACAAACGGAAAGGGTCAAGGTTCCTGGAACGGCCCCCCCGTGGTCGCGGTTGCCATAGCGATGCTGAGAATGCCACACGCGCTCTGCCCCTTCCTTTCGGCGTGTGCGTGGGCGTGGCGCTGCTGGCTGTGCTGGGCACCACCGCGCCGGTTCTGTCGGTTTCAACCCCTCAGACCCGAAACCCGGTCCGGCAGGGAGTTGGCTTCTAGTGGAAGGGCAGGAGTAGTCCCGAGTGTTGACAGACCACAGCTGTGTTTATTGCCCTCGAAACAGGAGAGGAGGGCAGGGCGAGGGTATTCTGCGGTCACTGTCCCACGGGCTGTAAACACGTCCCTCCTCGTGTCCAGGGCCGTCTCCGCTCTGCTCCTGGGTCACTGGCCGCCCTGGCCTTGACAGCACAGCCCGACCTGACCCGACTGAGGTATCCAGTCCTCACAAAACCAGTGGGGTCTCCCGAGCTGTCAA